ATATATATATATTGTTTAACGTTGCTTTGTATTTTGTTTGGGTTTATATATACAATTTACAACATGCCTATAATAGCTCTATAATTTCATATTCTCTTTAGTTTATTTTGTATTAAATACATGTTGCTCTTGCTACAAGAAATATCTGCATTTATTTCTCGATTGCTTTTCTTGCGGTAGATTATTTTATATTTTTTATTGATTGTGAGCTTGGCCCTTGTCAGTTGTTTTTTGGCTCTGTGCAATTTCTTTGCAAGCACACTCTGTTAAGTATCTATATACAAAATCTATAGGCATATATATATGTTTATATACATACAAATTGCCGATTAATTGATTGACTGCGAACAATTTTGTTAATAAACCGAACTAGAAATTTGAGAAACTTGTTTTTGGCTTGCGTTTTACATTACATTTAAATATCAGTTTTCTGTGGCAAGGCGACAAAGCTTAAAAACTATGCAAGAACGACGATGACTGGACGTGGAACACAATTAGAATGTCTTAACGGTTAAGTATGGCACTCTAACCGGTGTCGATGTTGTCGTTGACGTCGTCCTGGCTGCTAATCAGCCCAGCGCCAGCGGCGAACGCGGCGGCACGGGTGGCGGTGTTGCAGTGTTTGTTCTAGTGGTTGCATTGCTTGTTGCAGTTGTAGCAGTGTTTGTTGTAGTGGTTGTTGTAGTTGCTGTTGGTGATGCTGCTGCTGTTTTAGTGTTTGTTGCTGCTGCCGCGGCGGACATCGCTTGAGATGCCGGCGGCAGCTGACGTCAGGTGCCCAGCAGCATTTCACGTTGCGGTGCATTTTGCAGCATATTGGCGGTTTTCAAGTGAATGCTGCAATAAACGAATGTTTCAATCATTAACATATTAATTGAGAATCCAAAATTGAGTAAATGCAAAGACTTTACTTATTGTCCTCCAGCGACATGGTTTCCGATGAGCCGTGAGAGGCAACTGAAGTACCTGCAAGCGAACTTCGAATTGAGTGCGAGTCCTCGGGTACAGTAAGCGTAACTAATAGTTTATGTATTCGTTTTGGGTTTGATTTTGTTTTTATAGAAAGAGAGTGATATAGTAACGTTTGCCAATATGTTTAGAAGTAGTTCGTTGTTTTCCAATTGTTGCGTTTTCCAATGTAGATTGAAGATTTTTTTATTTTATTTTCAGTTTTTTTTTTTTGTTAAAAAAAAACAATTTAACATTTAGTTTGGATTGCGAATTGGTTGTTAAATAGTTTGTTAGTGTATGTTGTGCAAAATAAAAATGATTCGTATTTTAATTTATTATCAATTATAAGCTGCAATAGAGTTTGTCTAGATTCAAAGGACATGCAAAGTGCAATAAAAACATAAACTGGCAATAAGAAATGAAAATTTGCTTCAGTACAAAAATCATATATATTTATTTTAGTTAAATATATATATACATACATTTGTATATATATGTCTATTTCATGTTTTTATCTAGAGCTACAATCTGAATTTGGCGTTCTGTGTGTTTTAAGTAGCAAATGAAATGATGTATAAATGCAAACTTAATTTAAGCAGAAACATAATTTAAAAATGCAGTTACATTTTAATATATGTGTAGATAGACTTCATTTGTGTATATAGGGTATATATCAGATTTGTTGGCATTAATAAATACGTGTATAGAGTAGTTAATAGTTTAGGTTAAGTGGTTTTAGTTAGGTTGCGCATTGAAACTCGTTGTACGTATTGCTGGAATCGTTGGTATCTTAGGAATTATCAGTTTTGTTTGTTTTTGGAATAAGTATATATATGAATGATTTCAATATATATGTAAGGATAATATCAGTTGCGTGTGTGTTTGAGAAATTTACGCTAAATACAAAACGTTGACATTAGACAACAACAAATATTTACGTTTAACAAATTTGTGTGCTAAGCAACAATTTTCGATAGCCAAAGAAATTAAATCTAATTACTAATTAATGTAAATTTGTAACTAATCAAGTGGCATTCAATTTGAGCAACGACAAATCAATCGAATAAAGTTTATAAATTCAAGTACAAAATTCAACTTAAAAACTACGACAAATGTACGATTGTAGATTGATGAAATAAACAGACTACAGTCGCGTATTCTCCACGCTCAGCGCATCATCATCATCAACATCAACGTCAACATCATTAACAATATCGACATCATAGCTTTTCTCATTATGATGCCTGACTGCTTTGGCTAAGTTCTCCTGCGTCAGCTTATCAGTTCCATTCTCGACCAGGAYTCGTTTGCTGTGCTGCTGCTGCTGATGATGATTCTCGTGCTGCAGTTGCACTTGCTGGCTTTGCAGCGCTTCCAGCGCCTTATCCAGATCGAGTCGATTGCGACTATTGCTATCGCTGCTATAGCTATGCCGTTGGTGCGATAAACGATCGGCTGAGATGTGCTGCATATAGGCATAGGACTGCTGCTGCGACTGCTGCCAATGGTAGTTGAGATTGTTAACACTCTGGCTGCGGCTGTCTTCGGTCCCGGTGATCACAAAGCCATTGCCATTGCTATATAGCGAATAGCTACTAATTGCCGGCGAGGTGGCTAAACTAGTCATACTCTGATAGGTTTTCATTGAATACGCATCACCTACGAACAATAGAGATTATGCAGTGTTTTTTTGTTTCTTTCGAATGTTTTTGGTTTAGTTAAATATTCGATAGACGCCACACAGAGAGGTTTTAACATGTTTCCACAAGAAAAAATCCCGCGTAGACATTGCAATTGAAGCGTTTGAATAAATGCGTGTGATATACATATGGAGCGGACATTGTTAGACAAATGCAATTCAAATGGAACATTATACATGTATATATATAAATCTCGAATGACGCGTGAACTGTGACGCATATTTAATAAGCGACGGTTTATGCTTCAGTTTAATCAATTTTATAATATAAATATATACACATAGGCAGTTTATCTTGCATTCATTCATCATTATATATACATTATTTTTAGTTTTAGTGAGCACAACAACCACAACTCGCACCCGCAGCCCAGAACCGCAAAAAGAATACAACAGGGTATCACATAGTCCGGTCGTTAAATTTAGCCAATTACAACCACTTAATTGGGTCAGCGAACTTTGCGATGCGTACTCAATGCAACATTTTCTATTTTTGGTATTCATTTTTGGGTTGAAGTTCATTATAAACAATTAATAAAAAACAGCCTTGGAAATTAATAGGAAATTCTTAAAGGTCTGTCCCTTATGTAGACATTGTCTCTCTTAAACAAAAGTTGAAACCTTTTGGAATCTTATAAAAATTAACCAGCACATTTAAAACAAAAGAGACAAGAAAAAAAAATATATACAAACATCAAATAATATACAACAAATGGGGAGATTTCATTACAGATGTACAAGACTAAATACGTATGATAAACGCTTGGTAAAAATACAATTAATGGAACTGTATACAAAATTAAAACGATCATAAGACTAAATTGTAGTTGTAAAATATTATAATTTACTTTTGATTGGATTTTAAATAAATATTTAAACTAATTTCAAAGCTTGCACCACAGACACTACAAATTACAGTCATGTTTGTTTATAAAAAGATTTAAAGAAATGGGTTTATTATTTTTGTAATTAATAGAAAAGCAAGCGTTAGATATAGTGTATATAAGAAAAGTCAAGTTAAGTAGTTGTGCTATTGAATAGGTATCAATATATATACAAAAACTCACCAGTTGCGCACTCAGATGTCTCATAGGACACCGTAGATTGTACTTCAATTGCGTTTTGTTCTTGCCTATCAATTTAACAATAAAGTGAATACATTAACAACTGTGTATAGAAATTGAATGCGCAAATGTTCGCACCTTGTTATCACATCTGTTAAGACTTGCTTTTCCGTATCGGTGTAGTCACGTCTGCGTCCAGTTTTCTTCTCGAGATCCGCCGCCACAAACACGCCGAGTGGCCGTGTGGGAAACTCATTGGTTTTCGCTGGTGGGGGCACATCGAGTTTCAGATCTTTCAACTTTTTCATGACACGCTCGAGCGCCTGAATGGCATCGTCGTCACTATAGCCAAAGTTCTTATGCAACTTCACTTGCAGATATTCAATAATGCCATCCATATCTTTCAGACGCAACAGTTCGTCCTTGTGCAAATAAAGTATAGTAATGGCCATGGCTAATATAACACGATCGCCATCAAGCAGAAAAATATCCCAAACACGTAAACTTAAACTAAATGGTACCTGAAAATACAAAAATATTGATCAAATTAACGGAATATAATTTGGCACACTCATCATTTTACTCACGCGCTCCACAAAGACCACAAAGAACCACTTGATGGCATAGAGCAGTGCATCCACATTGTGTTTCATAAAATGTTTATGCAGCTTGCGCATTATCTTCGACAGAATGCGATCATGATGCTCGATGAAGCGCGTCAGCTTTGGAAAGCCCTCAATAAACAGGCCGTGCATGCCATATTTGCGATCTGTGATTAGCGTGTTGAGTGCCCAGAATGCCTCCTCCTCCTGCATGTACAGCAGCAAGACACCCGCAACACACGCCATGCCCTGGCAATAGCCCAGCTCGGAGTTGTAAATGCTGTAGGCGTTCAGCACGTTAAACAGTGAGCATTGCTTCACGCTATATCTCTCCCGATAGGCCAGGTTGTCACGAAACTGACGATTGACGTCCGCGTCGATTTGCCGCGTCTCAGTTGCATTCTCTTTGGCCATCTGCAGCATGCGAGCGTACACGCCCACATTGTTGTCCATGGACTGCTGCACATTGAGCAATTGCTTCCAAGCCGGCCAACGCATCCGATCCGGTATTCCCTTGTAGACCCGCTTGTGTAGCTTGTCCTGTGGCGGAGGCCAGTGATTCAGCATTTTGACCCATTTTTTATCACGCTCCAGTTCGATCTTCGTGCGCTGCACCTCCTGGGAGTCGCGAGACGATGGCAGGCGGGAATCGTGCATGAAGCCGTATCTAAAAACAAGATACATTAAATACACGTTAACGCTGACAATTGCCATTGCTGATAAGATAGCAGTAGACAAACGATTTCATCAGGTGCACAAATTCCTAACTGAACTAACTTTCTTTAATGCACATAAGACATGAAAATGTTGAGCCAACATAGATATGGAGAGCCTGGGTTTATTTACATTTAGATCTGATTATATGCTGGCTACTCAAAGTGGATAAACAGTTCTCTCTAATAAACACTTCGAAAAGATTTGATTACATTGTTCGCGATTAGCGGTTATTATGTATTAGATTAAACAATTGCTGCTGCTACCTGATAAGATATCACGACAAATTATATATAAAGAAAGTAGCAATAGAATGTCATACATTCCATTAACTTATGCTCGAGAGATATGAAAATGCGTCAGCCAAACTCACATTTAATGTGGCCAATAAGAGATTATTCTAAATTCGGAATATGCCTATATACTTTCTTTTTTTAAGTCTTCTTTGGCTGTTCTTAAATACCTCTACCTCCTATTGTTGGCACATGTTTGTATTGTTGCGATTAACAGTTATTTATGCATTAGTCAGCTCACAACCACACACACAGCCGCTAATCGCTTGAAACAAAGGAAAACAAAGTCCATCCTTACTTACTTGTCTGTTATGTGATAGATTTCAAATGTGGGATTCTCCCAGGAGTCGACGACGTTATGGGGATCCAGGCCCAGCTCATAGCGCTTGAAAATATCCTCACGTTCGTCTTCGGCGCGTTTGACTAATGCGTACTGCTGCTGTTGTTGTTGGTGGTTCTGCTCGCCATTATCGTGGGCGGGCGGAGCGGCTGTCATTGTGGGCGTGGGCAAGCAATAGGCATCCAAGTGCTGCTGTTGATGCTGCTGTTTTTGTTTCTGTTCTTGTTGTTATTGCTGTGGCTTTTGTTGTTGTTTTTATTCTCCGCTGTGGCTCCGTTTAGTGTTTGTGTGTGCTTGGCAAGAATGTTGAATGGGAGCGGCTGCTGCTGTTCGGCGATAGCGCGAAACTTTTTATTTTTATTTTTTTTTTAAGATAAAAGCGAACATTATGAGCATGCATTAACATATGAAAACGAACTCCAAAGCGCACATATACACGTACAAAAACTCACACAATCATATAAACATATACAACACTCACTCACAGCAATCAACAGTAAGTCTTGTACATTCATTTAAATGCAAGTCTTCGATTTCACTGCAAAAAAGTTTGTTGCATGTGAGTGTGTGTGTGCGTGTGAGTTTTGCTTTTAAAATGTGCAACAACAAAACCAACAGAGAGAGTGTGAGTGAGAGAGCGAGTGCGCGCGAGCGTTACCAAATGACGTGATATTCAATAATATTTAAAGCGTCCCTGAAGCGGCATCAACTTGAAAACAACAACAAAATAACACAGAAAGTTGCTCAACAAATAAAAAAAAAACGCCCCCACATGAATTTCGTTAAATTCTGTTTTTAGACAGTGTTTAGAAGCATATTCTTTACAACTATCTGTTTTCACTAATATTTGTTTCCATGCATTTATCTTGTATGCACTTCCTGTTTTGATTTTGCAGCAATATATACATATATATATTTTTTCATTTTTTTTGTCAACACTCACGCTCACACATACTGACACGCACTCGTAAGCCACACACTCGCACGCACTCACAAAGCGTTCTGTTCTGGTGCTTTCACTGTTTTCACATATGCTGATTTGGTATTGATGTGCTGTCGTGTCGAATATTTGGTTTATTACCATTTAATTTTGTTTTAATTTATATACTATTTGTGATCAATTAATGAAAATGAGCACATTTGCTGTTTTTTTCAGCCTGCATGTTGAGCGAGTTTTGACTTAACAGAACGGACTGCCCCCACCTTACAGACTACTGTTTAGTTAACATCAACTAGCGTTGCCACCTCACACTACTCGTCTACCATTTGGCGCGCGTCTCTATGTGGCAACTGTGGCAGCAAAGAACTAGCTCGATACTCGTAAAGAAACTTATCGATAGCATTAATAGCTGGTTCCTGTGTCTTCGACCATTTTTTTTGCGTGTATGTAGTTTTAATTGTGCTGGTCGAGAAAAATTGTGTGAAAAGTCCATGAAAACGTTGCAAATACAACGAAAAAGTGTTGTGCTGTGCACTAAACGCTTACGCGTACTGAATAGTATTCAAAAAACAATGTACACACAGTAATTCCATTGAATAAAACGGGTAAGAAATGCACTATCCCTAAAGTGCGTAGCAAATTGCTCTCAACAAGAGTTCCCCACTGTACACACATACACACGTATATATATATATATATAGGAGACTCGATCAAACGAACTAAATTGAATGATGCCTGTCTTCGGTCGATTGTAAATTATGTCGACACAAATCGAAATCAAAAAAACTGCAATTAAACATTTTTCTTCGATCCATATTTCCTAGCATTTGTCCATCAAAGACGATTTAGCCTATACTTCAAAGCACTTTGCAACTAATAAGTTTTGGAGATAAACAACTAAGTGTCTTTGCTGTTTGTTCACTATGGTCTCAACGCGCCAAATGTGTGGAAATGCGGGAGGCGCCGGTGGTTATGATGAGGCGCCAATAACTACTCGCGCCACAGTAGTGCGGCGAACCACACATTATCAGCACCATCACCATCAGCCGCAGCAACAGCAGCAGCAGCAAGTGCAACAGCATCAGCGGCAGCAGCCGCTGGCCACCATCGCTCCCGTTTTAAATTTCCTGGACTTGCCCACGGAGCTGATCATCAAAACGCTCGGCTACTTGGATTATAAGAAAATAAGCAATTTAAGATTGGTAAGTGACAACAGGCTGCGAAGGAGAGGAGTTGGGGTGTGGTTGGTCTGTTACAAGTGCAAAGCGAGTTTCATTATTTAATCAATAAAAAGCAATTTGCAAAATGTAAGTAGAATGCGCGTGGGTCGTCGTTGGCTAAGTAGTCGATGGATAGGCGGTTCGAGGGGTAGAGGCATGTTATTCCACTACCTGCATGCACTTGTGCATGTTTTTGTTGTAATATATATTATTTTTGCCACTAAAAAGTCATCGGCGGCTAGAGCGGAGCGTGGGTCGTGGCTCGACCGAGCGATTCATGTTTGTGCGTGCTCTTGTTTTTGGAATATTTATCATTTTTGCTATTCGAATGTCAACACGATAATATGTTTCATAAATGGACACGATGCCTTTATGTGTGCGCAGGTAAACAGGAAAGAAGCTACGGCATTTGACAGAGTGTAAAATTATTACTTTTAGACTAGGCCTACAATACAGCGAGCAGTACTAAGAAATATCAAAATGTTATAGAATATAAATTTAATTAAAATCTTATTGGATGATAGTTTGTAAAATTTCATATCGAGCGTTATCAGTATTATTATTAGTTATAATATGTTGTCTATTCTAATTATTATTTGAATTCAAATCCAATTGGAAAATATTTTGTAGTTTCACATCGAGCTATATCTGTTTTAATAATGCTAATTTATGTTGTATCTTAAATACCTTTAATACAATTATTTTTATTAGTATTAAAAAAAAAAAAAAAACGAGCAAGTCGTGTCACGTAGAGATGCAATACACATCGCTATCTTTGGTTTTTTTGTTTCTTGGGTTTTGTCATGCATTTGATTTTGTGTCCACATTCGTATGTTTGCCTATGTGTGCATGTGTAGCGCACGTGTGTGTGTGTGCGTGTATTTGAGAATATGTTGTGTAGTAGGTAGCCAGCCAATCGTAATTTGATATATTTATGAGATGCGCTAAAAATTTGGGATGCGGGTCGTTGCTGGCGCTCTGTGATCTTGCTGAATTTAAACAGAATCATGAACTTAAAAGTAATATATGGACATGTGTTGTACATGATTTCTTTTTCGCAGGTGTCGAATCGCATGAACGACATTTGCATGAATATGTTGAATGCGGCTTTCGCAAAGCAGATTAAGACGACTTTCAATCGCTTTCAATCGATAAAGTCGAGCATGCCGCGCCGCGAGTCGGCTCGTCGTCATCATCCGTTGGCCTGCGAATGCGACATTATCGAGACTTGCTATATGCGACTGTCGTTGCTCCAAATGTCCATGGGCAAGCACATCGAGCGTGGTCACTGCTGTTTCTTTCCGGGTGCCGTAAGTGAAGCTTATTAGCAATTAGTTTGGCCCTATCTGAATTCAATCGCTATGCCTTTGCAGATTCTTGATGAAGTGCACTCGATTTTGAACTACATCAGTATTACGCCGCGCTTGCAGCGTCCTTATCGTGTCACCGATGAGCTATTTGATCTCTCCACCATGGCTATGGAGTACTTTAAGGACCGCATTGAGCCTACTCTGCCGGGCCTGGCCTACTTTAACAAGGACTTTTTCCAATTGCCCGTTACCACAAAGCGGCGTAAGTCGAACTCATTTTAATTCTTCACCTGGTGATTAAAACAATTTCTCTACCAATTCCAGCTACCTTAGCAATTAGCTCAGATCTCTCAGACAGCTCGAATAACTCACCACCTCAGAACCACATGGTGTTGCGTAAGGGCATACGCAAGATCAAGCAGGGCATGAAGATGTACAATAATCAGCTATCAGTGCTGCGCACCGAGCTAAGGAACTGCAAACGCAAATCCGCTGAGCAGAGCAAACAGCTTGCCGAACAGCAAAATCTATTGGCGGAGCATCAGAAGCAGACGCTGGAATATGCCAATCGCCTGGACGAGAATGACAAGAAGAATGAAGAAATGGCACGCAAATTTTCCACATTGTTGCAGGTGCGTAAGAAGACGGTGCACCGTTAATATATTCGATATTATATATATTTCGATCGTTGTAGGAACTCAACAAGTGCAAAACCGAGCTGCAATTCTGGCGCTCTAAGAGCCCTGCAATACCGTCGGTCTGCAGTTCATGCAATTTAAAAGTGACTCCAGTGTTACCGCACGAGGATTTAAAAGCGCTGGTCAATCAGGGTGTCGATCCGGATAACATAATCATAATCAACGATGAGACCGAGGCGGATGAGACGGCTGCCGCCAATGTGGACGGGTGTGAGCTGAACGCAAGCGTTGAGAACCCATTCGCCCTGCCAGATGAGGCAACCACATCCAAGCTGTTAGCCGTTAATTCGGCTGCCAAAAATCTCAAACGCAAATATGCTTCAACGATGATGGACAGCGAAATCGCTGCAACGTCCAATATAATTGCGTCCAATGCGACATCGCCGTCTCAGGATCTAGCGAGTCAACAGGTCGAAGCCAGCGGCAGCACCAGCTGTGGCTATTCGACGAAACTCTTTTATGGCAATCATCAACGTAGCGGCGTGATTGTGAGTCCAGTGTCCATTAAGCTGGTGCCAATGCTGCCTCCCAATGGCAATGAAATGGAAAAGGGAAACGAGCAGCAGTTGCAATTGCTCCAGCCAATCAAAAGTGAATCAATTCAAGCAACTGCTGAGTCCCATTTGGGCAATGCAGTTTTCGTGGAGCAAATGGAGGCGAAGAAGGCACGTAGAGTACAAAAGGCCAATAGGTGCTTAAATGCATCTGGCAAACGCAGTAAATAAGCATAAAAACATATACAAATTAAATTTTTTACTACTTATACATACACACATATATTTACATATAAAAGTCGCGCGCACACACACACACCCAGCGAAAGTGTGTGTGTGTGTGAGTGTTTGTGTGCGCGCAATGTAGTGTTAAAAAGCAAAAACAACAACAGAGGAATCAAATTAAATATACATGCATATATATAGTTACCTATATGTAATTGTATATGTATCTTTTACGAAGATCGAATGCATTAGGCATTCTGATTATCATTATTATTATTATTACTATTACCATTTACAAAATGTATCTGTATGTTCTATACACACACACATAAATACAGCCGGAAGCAAAAAACACTTAAAATTGTTTGAAAACACATATACACAACAATTTGTATGTGGTTTTGATATATCGGCGGAGCAAAAGCCATAATTATAATTTAAAAGCAGCATAATGTTTAATATTAGTAGCCACATAAAGCACACCAACACAACAAAATAAGGAAGGTGTGAAACAAAACAAACAAACAAAAAAAAGAAATGGCAAAGAAATATTTTAAATAAAACTTTAATGCATACAAAATCAATTGCAATTTTCCGACGTTTTTATTGAACAGATTAGTGTTCTTCAATCAGCCATTGTTTTTCATCGTTTCAGGCATACTTTTCTTACTGCGCTATTAAAAAAACAAAAAACGCCAGAAACCGACAATGCTGCCACTTATTACATTACGGTAAAAAAAAGTTACACTGATAATAAATTATCAAATAAATTCAAAAAACCTAAATAATACTGGTAGACGCCAATCGTGTAACAAATTCAATTCAATTTAATTATTTTAGACAAGCCCTTAGCACCAAAACTTGTATTTAAAATTTAACGAAGTTTTATAAATCAACAAGGCTGCCAACTGTTTCGCATGGGGAACCATCGTTAAAATTGCTATAATAAAATCGGATACATCGTTCTCTATCTGCGATAGCTTCAATTACAATTGAAACCGTTAATTATCGATATCATCAACTAAGCATATTGAAAATACATAAAAATATGTGCGTCCAGTAAAGAGAACAATCGGCAGTCGCTGTTGCTTAAGAGACAACTAACTAAAAATAATCTAATATGTCTGTGGAGATACTCACGCAATTAGCCAAAGTACTTAGGAAAGCGCGGCAGCCAGTCGAGAGAGACTCGCTCCTGCTATATTTATAATTGGCGAGTTCCAAGTAAAGCGTCTGGCAGTCGCTGCTTGGTCGCATTGCCGTGAAAACACACATTTCGTCTTATTGTATTTTTGCAGACGTACAACACGTAATCAAAGCAGATGCAAGAATACAGCGAAAAATTGGAAGATATCTACGATGAGAAATTGGGCAGGTGCTGGAAAATCAGTGGAAACATCTACATAGATTAGTTAATATATATCAAATTTTGCAGGCATTTAGTGGCCAGCCTAAGCATTGAGCCCGGCGAGACGCTGCTGGAGGAGCAGCCTCTGCTGGTGGCGCCCCATTGGGAATGCGATCGACTAAAGTGCGCTCAATGTCTACAGGAGTCGTATGTTATATGTCGCAGGTGCCAGGTATATCCGCTGTGCATGGACTGCAGCGAGCACGATGCGTTCGAGTGCGAGTTCTTCGCGAGTGGAGCCGGTAGTGGAATCGGAAAAGATCTGCTAATTAAGAACTACGGCATCTGTGCGCTGCTGAAGCTTTTGTTGTTGCTCGAACAGCCGGATCAGCGGGCGCAATGCCAAATACTGCTGGAAAGACCAGTTAAGCTGGAAGATTATCGAAATGAAGACGGAGTCTGGCAGGAGCATGAAGAGCAGGTGGTGCGTCCAATAATGGACAGTGGCTTAGCAGAGGCTTTGCCGGATCAGCAACTGACATCGGATGCCTTGCATGCTCATTGCATTCGCATTGATTGCAGCGCCTACGAGGTGACCGCAAGGGATGGAGATACACTTAAAGGCGTCTATGTGCGCGGAGCTAACTTGCCACATAGCTGTGTCCCCAATACGGTGGTCGCTCTAGACGAGCAGTTCAATTTGAAGTTATATGCCGCTGTGCCCCTTGAGAGCGGCCAGGTCATCTTCACATCCTATGCGAATCCGTTAATGGGCACCAGCCAGCGACAGCATCAGTTGCGAATGACGCGGCACATGGAGTGCGCCTGCGTACGTTGCTTGGATCCTACGGAACTGGGCACCCACATGAGCAGCATGAAGTGTCGGGATTGCTCTGATGGCTATGCCGTTTGTGATTTGCGCGGAACTGGCAATTGGCGTTGCCTCGATGTGAGCTGCGGAGCTGTTATACCAGCTGCCGATGTCCACGAGCTGCTCGCTGAAGTCGGCGGTGCTCTGGTCGATGCGAAGGGCGAGCTGAGTGTCTATGAGTCCCTCCTTGCCCAGAACAAACAGCTGCTACATCCCAATCATTTCCTCTTGCTGGATATAAAACAGAACATTGCGAGCATTTTGCGTGCAGCAGCTCTAATGAATTCTCTGAATGATCCCTGCAAGAAATTGCTAGCACGTCGCGTGGAGCTCTGCGGTGATCTGTTGCCCATTTGTCGTGCGGTCATACCCGGCATCTCTAAGCTCTATGCGATTGCTCTGTTCGAGTACCTGCTGTCCTTTGTGGAACTCACCGAACTGCAGTTCTCCGAAGGCGATGTAGACAAAAAGGGATACGCCGTAAGTGGAACGTAAACTATATAATCTTTAGTTTACTCTTAGCCATAATCCATGCCTAAATCCTTCATTTATATAGGCGCAACTGAAGCGTGCCCAATCGGTGGCCAAGGAAGCACTGGATTTGTTACAATTCGAACCAGAGAACTCGGCCGAGGGTTTTCTAACCGAACGCATTGCTATGGAGTTAGAGCGCATCGAATCTGATCTAATGAAATACGGGAAACATTAAAATATCTTAGAAATGAGAGTTTCGATAGGAAATGTTGTTCATCAACATGAAAATTTGTAAAATATGTAGAAAATATAATTTTTTGGAAGAGAATCGCATGCTGAAAACATCTTATGCTGAAAAATTTCATTTCATCAAAAATGGGTTTCTTCTTTACGAGGCCAAAATAAAACAATGTTTGGCAGACAATTTAATTCTCAATGCATGTTTTCAACAATATTTCCCTAATCCGAACTTGTAGCTAAAATTTCAAAAAATTTGAATGCTTACAATAGAGATCTTTTTATCGGTTGAAATRAATTATATTACATTAAAATCACGCTTTTCTTTATTTATACAAACATATGTATATACATATGTACATACGTAGCAAACAACGCATTCACACAGCGTACGCTCTGCTAACAGCGCAGTTGACGCATCGACTGCACTCAGCCTGTAGTTTTGGCTACACTAAGGGAAAATTGATACTAAATTATTGTTCTTGTAAATAGACAGTCCTTATTAAACTTTTAGTATGTGATAATGGCGTACATATGTGAATATTGACCAAAGCATATTATGGTCGAGTGGTGGAGTTGGAGTGCCTGAAATCTACTAATTGTAAAATATTTGAACTGTTATAGAAACTATCCAGCTTAATGAATAAAGAAAATAATACATATACATACACACACACACACACATATATATANGCCCCATTGTTGCGCACCTTGGCAACATGACGAAGCCGCTCACTGCAGCCGTCTGCGGGCTGCTCTGCGGCGCAGGCGTTTGTTTACAATTGTTGATTCCCCGAATGCCCGACACCGTTTTTGGCGCGAAAATCTCTATAAAGCGAACTCTCAGCCGTCGTCAAGTTCAGACTCCTCCAGATATCCCAAATCGAATAATTCCGTAAAAAGAGAAAACTGTTACACAATTACATAAAGCACATTTCTCTAAGGCTATCAAATTCCACACAGTTATCAAAATTTTTTCAAGTGAATTAAAAAAAAATAAAATAAGAAAAAAACCCTCCTCAATATGGTATATCATTTCCCATCTTTATTCAGTTCAGGGTAGTTCAGTTCACAAAATATTAATTTAAATGTTACTAATTACAAATTTCAAAAAAATTTAAATGATTTTTATCTCTGACTACTATATTTTAACTAACATTGGTCAACATTGCTAACAGTTTTGGCTATTCATTTGATCAGACAGTCTCCCATAGCAGACAATAGAGAATATCATAAGATATTTTATTTTATTACAATTCAAATTAAAAAATGATTCTATAAAATTACAATCAGATGAATACACTTGATTCAGAGGGATATATCAATTTTAAAATGAACTTTTAACGTTTCCAGTACAGTCTTCCATTTAAAAGTTTGTCTTAAGTACTAATTTATATTTTTTTATATAAAAGAGAATATAACATTATTTAAAATCTGCGATTTAAATTCAAGATGATTTCTGATTGTTTCTAAAGCAATATCCTAGATCGTGGCTAGAAGGAGTTCAATAGCCAAACAAAAGCGCATTCACTTCAGGTGTACGAGCCAGGGGGGGAGAGAGGCGTCAGTGACCGGACGATGGGCAGAGAAAACACACATTGAAATACAAATTAAATTAAGAATCGCTTTTAAATATAAATAAATCTAAATAGATACTAGAGTCTCAGTATCGCTCGACACAATATTGGGCCCTCAGTCGAAAAGTGCTAATTGGCAACACCAGATGCAAAACGTGGCCAAAAGAAACGGGGAAGCGTTCACATTTCAAATAATCATTCAGAATGGAAGACTTTGCCAATAAATTTGAAGTGAAAGAAAACGAGACGATGGGCAGGTGGGTGGATTAAACCAAAGAATACCTTATCAATTGACCAATTCAATTCGTTTTAAATATCCCATCTGCATATTCATGCCCAAATTGAATGGATAATGCCGTATTGATAGTTATATTGCTGAACATTTTGAGTACCTTATTAAGTACTCTTTTGGCTCTACTAATATCAAATTAAATGACATGCTAAAACTATATTAATATCCTCCTCAGTTCCATATTTACTACACTATTTAATGCTCTGGAGAACGGCATATTAAACTTTATGTTGAAGAACATTTTAAATATCCTGTTGATATACATACATACAATTATGACATGTTGACGTATTGCCTATATTTTATTTACAAAGGTATTTGGTAGCTGCTGTCAATATCAAGGCCGGAGAAACGCTGCTGCTGGAGCAACCTTTGCTGCTGCTCGCCAACAACGCTGATAGACGCTGTTGCAACTGCCATCAGTTAACCTCCACGTTTTGCGGGTAGGTACTTGACCAGCGTAATCCTAAAGAGCTTCTCATTGTGTGACATTTTTTCTGTTCGGGGAGTGGCCAGCAAGTGTCATCTAATGCCGCTCTGTGCGGAGTGCGTGGATCATCATGGCCTTGACTGCCTACGCTTGGCGAAGCTGCAGCTGCATGTGGAGAAAATGCAGCAGCTGCAAGGGAATGCAGAGATTGCCAATGTTCTAAAGTTTTTGCTTTTGAGGGAGCATGCAGAAATGCACTCTCGGTATGAAGAGCTACTACAAATGGAGGCACATCTAGCTCGTCGTCGGGGCACAGAAATTTGGCGCACTTATCAGAAACAGGTGATAGAGCCACTTCAATCAGCCGGATTGTTATTGCAGCTGCGAAATGGTTCGGAAATCGATGAAGAGCTGCTGCAACGCATGCTTGGCATTGCGGACATCAATGGCTTTGAAATACGCGCCCCGGAATCTGGGAGTTCCATGCGCGGTGTCTATTTGAGAGCCGGTCTTTTTGCGCACAGCTGTGTTCCCAATGTAGTAGCGGCCATCGATGAACAGCATCGCATCAAGCTCTATGCAAATCGATCCATAGCCGCTGGGGAGATTCTATACAATTGCTATACGAACATTATGCTGGGCACGGACGAAAGACGTCAGATTTTGAAGATTGGAAAGTGCTTTGATTGCCAGTGTGTCCGCTGCCTGGATCCTACTGAGCTGGGCACTCACATGAGCAGCTTCGTATGCTCCCACTGTGCAGGTGGATATATAGTAAAACAGCCTGGCTCTAATGCGTGGCAGTGTTTGCTTAATCCGGAGCACATTCTGAAACCAGAATTTGTGGCAAGTGTAGTGGAACGTGCTAAGGAAGAGGTTTTTCATGCTCGCGATGATATTTATCGTCTAGAGTTGCTGCTGGCCAAGCTGGGACGTCTGCTCCATGGCAATCATTATATTATGCTCGACCTTAAACAGAATATAGCATCCATACTGAGGCAGATCTTGCAGAATATGGCACATCGACCCAGCCGTAAAGTGTACGAGCGTAAGATTCGCCTATGCCAAGAAATATTGTTGGTTCTTAAGGTTTTGGCTCCTGGCATATCCCGCCTTAAAGCAATTGCACTCTATGAATTGGCCAACACACAAGCTGAGCTTGCGCGAAAATTGTTCAGTGAACAGGAGCATAACGCTGCAGATTTATTGGTAAAATACTCACATCTTTTAATATGTATATTTATTACTAAAACAAAAACTATCAATTATGCAGGGAGAATTGCAGCAGATTGAGATTATGATGCGGGAATCACTTCGCATGCTGCTTTATGAACCTATCTGCACGCCGGAGGGTCACTTGGCACGTAATATGCTTAGAGAGCTGAAAGAGCTTCAAAATGACATGAAAGTGCTGCAACAACCAAATGATGTGATTAATTAAAATTTATTGATATTTTGTATTTCAAAATACTGAAATCTTACTTTCGTTAGCGCCAAAATCGATTTCAATGAACTAGTCTTAGCGGAACAAATTTAAGACGGCAATCAATAAGACAATTCTTTTTTACTGGTATATGGACTACTATGCTCCAGAGTGACAATAGTCACAAAATTGAGTAATTTATTATAATAAAATTATTGTAATTTATAATTTATTGTGCATTATAAATAGCTTGTTTTCATAATACCGTCAAATTAAGTTCCAATTCCGTTAGCGCACTAACCAGAGAACACATAGACTAGACATCTAGAACAAATTYTTTCRCCGRCRAARAAMTGCGCYKAGGAGACTACACAACTTCGTATTTGCTCGGCTCAGTCTCTTGAGGCTCAAGCATTGAAAATAAGGCAAGACAAAATCAGTGTGCTGCGAGCGCTGCCACGAAATGCACGCATTACCAA